TGCAGAATGTTTATTGACACCAGCAGGTAAGTAAAGACGATGGAAAAGATTTACGCCCTAGAACTTGAAACTGAAAGAGTTTTATCCATTATACCTTTTATCTAGAAATTACGGATGTTTAAATATATGGGTCTATTTGTCAGTAAAGGCTGTAGGAAAGTATAGTTTGTCTTTATTTAGAAAATATGGATGTTTTGATCATTAATTTTCCTGTTGGACCCTGAGGTTCTGGCGCCTATCCGCTTTTGCCCCCCCCCCCCCCCCCCCCCCCCCCCCTCAGTGTACATTGGTTATTGCCTGGTCACCCTTATTAAAAATCTCTGGCTACGCCCCTGGTCATAAGGCTCTGATGCTACACTAAGGGAAAGTTAAAGGGAGGGGTAAGTAGAGAACAATGCAACTGGGAGACACAAAGAAAACAAGCAAGCATGGGAACTAAATTATTGAGCTGATATATATCAAATCATTATTTATAAGGCATCTGCTGTTGTTTATTGGGAAAAGCCTGATTGCAGGTTACCTGAAGGAAATGTTTTATTAATGTTTCCTAAATTACAATCACCAAAAAATATCTTATTTTTTGATCTGGACTTGTCATTTCTAGATTTTATTTCTTTCATTTCTAGAATATTACAAAAACTCAAGATATCTTGTCCAGGAGTGAAAAATGAGTTCATATATTCATTTTTTTTTTTTTATGGTAATATTACAATACTATGCTCCACATATTCTAGTTTAAAGCCTTCAGCTGATCTTAAATGTTGCAGCAAAGTTCCGATGAAAATTAAAAAGATTATATTTCTCCAACCTTAGCTTCCTTTCATTGGGTTCACATTAAATGCAGAATAGAATTTAAAACCCTTCTCACATATAAAGCCCTAAATCACCAAGCTTAATCTTATAAATCTTTTTCAAGTCAGGAGATTTGAACAAAGTGCTTTACAGTAAATTCAGTCATCCACCCCTTAATGCACACACTGATGGTGGCATGCTTCATTGTTGCCACAGCTGCCCTGGGTCTCACTGCTAGAAGTGAGGCTGCTGTACACTGCTGGCACCACCGGTCCCTCTGACCACCATCACTAGGCAATGTACATGAAGTGTCTTGCTAAAGGACACAATGACAATGAAAGCCGGACAACAGACAACCCTTCGGTTGCAGGGCAAACTCCTGCATCCGACACCACTGTGTTATATTAGAGATCTGATTGTTCCATATGCTCCTAACAGAGCACTTGCTCTCAACCTACAGGTTTACTTGTTTACTTATCAGGCTCCTCTCCTGTTGAACCCACTTCCACTTTTAATCAATGAGGGAGAGACCCTGTCTTCTTTTATGACAGGAGTAAAAATATTCTCCTTTTTGAAAAATCTTATAGTTAGAGATGCTCAGGTTATCCTGAGCAATCTCTGCAGCTATGCTGCTATAGGCTTAGACTGCTGGAGGACATATGGACCACTTTTTCTACTCTTTCACTCATTCTACTTCTATTCTCCTGTTTTGTATTATTTTGGGTTTCTTTTCTACTTTTAAGTGCTTTCTCTCTCTGCTTTTTCTCATCAATAGCTACAGAAGGCCAGATGCTGTTTTTGTCATGATTGGTTCTGAATCAAACCCACATGCAGAACACTACCAGGAGACAGATGAAAAGTTTAACAGAGTTTATTAAATGTTTGCACAAAATAAGACTGCGTTCAGGAAACAGGTCCGGGCTGGATTCTCAGGCGTCTGCAGAGATGACAGTTTGGTTAACCAGGGGGATTGGAAGCGTTGTTTAGTTTTCAGATTGTTGCAGACTTATACCTTGGAGAGTTTCTGGCTTTCTTCTCAGAGGGGGGGGAACCGGTTGGGTCCAGAGACTGTTGGTTTGACAGAGTGCTCAGCAGGTGCGGCGTCTAACTTCTGACTGTTGGATCAGACCTTGGATTGAGGAGTTAGCTCTCCTTCCGAGAGCAGCAGGTGGATTCCAAAGTGAGATCTTCAGGTTTGGCTCTCTAGGGCAGGCAGGCAGATTCAGGTTAAGCTCTCCCAGAGCTTCACACAAGAGACAGGTTTTCCTAGGAGCGACAAGACAAAGGCTGGTTAGAATTCAGTTTTCTCTAGGGGACAAAATCAAAAGAGAAGGAGGCTCAGGTTCGCTAACCAAACTTAGCTAACACTGCGGCGTCGAAGAAAGGTCTGGCATCTGCTTAAGTAGAGGGGTCCTCTAATGGGCTGACGAGCTCCAGGTGTGCTGGTGAGCTCCAGCCCAGAGAACCCACGGCGCACTCTGCTGGGGAAAGGTGGAACAACTCCAGATCCCAACAGTTTTTAGCTGTGACACCATCCTGGAGGGAGGCATCAGCTCAGCTGCTTCTGGCAACAACTGAAATTATAGATAATAAAGTTTGGCCTGTCTTTCAGTGTTTTTAATCTTGTTTCTCTCCTAGACATAGCTGTTTGCTCAGACTTTACTGCGACTGACTGTATGTGCCGTCTGTCATCCATTTTTACATAAAAAATGGCTCAGAGCTCATCTGCAGAAACAGACTCTTTTCTAGACAGCCACCTGTGGAGCACGTTTACCATTACCTTCTTTAAAACAGAAAGCGTTTATGTTAAGTGCTTTTTTTGTCCCTTTTTCTCTGCTTCTCTTCTTTTCTCTTGCTGCCTCTTCTTTGTGAGGGATTGCTGTAAAGTCAATGACATTGCAAGCAAATTTCCAGCGGTTGCCTCAGCCTAGAAAATTTTTGGTATATATTGATGGATAGTTATTTTAAAAAGTTCCAACTCTTTTTAGGAAATCCTTATAAAACATTCCATTGCTGTTCCCTGAAATTAAAGTGTTTTGCGTAAAGAATGCTCTCTGAGATTCGTAAAGGCTTTTTGGTAAAAAGCCGTCATCCTTGGGGAAGACTGTGGTTAGAATTATGCATACCAGGGGTTGCTCCCCAAATGTTCTCTGAAAGTCATAAATGTAGAAGTTATGCTTAAAGCTTGCAGAGAAATGTGATACTCAAGGGGCCGGATTTATCAAGATCCAATTTTGCGTGCAGTAATTTGCGCTCGCAAACTGGAATTTTGCGCGAGGGGCTGAACCATGGTTTGCGGGTGATTTAACAAGAGCGATTACGTAACTGGTGGCAGGTGCAAAACTGTTGGAGACGCCCTATTTAAATGATGGTTTTGCGCGTTTTGTGGTTTGCGGCAAAGTAGTTTGTTGTTTGTGCAAACTAGTGCATTAAGAAATTTTAATCTTACAGTGACACCCCCACCCCCTCCCAAAAAAAAAAAAAAAAAAAAAAATATATATATATATATATATATATATATATATATATATATATATATATACACATATACACACACTTTGGCAGCCTTTATTCCCTAAGGTTGTATGTGGCTGAATTTCTACTTCACTGCAGTAAAAAAAAAAAAAAAACGCATCCCCGCAGCATTGGCATGTTGCTCCACAGGCGCAGGGTGTCGGGGTTCTCCGTTAGGGCGTCCGGGCGACATGGCATTTAAAACGTCGGACAGCACTTCTGAAAAACGAGATTGGGAGATCCCAGATGCAAAAAAGTGCAATGTTGCAAGGAGTTTTGTGATATCTGGTATTGCGTGGGTCCTCCTTGTGGCTGGCTCCAAATCCATTCGGAGTTCCCCCAACAGCTCCAAAATGGCAATGCTGGATAAACGATATGTTTTGATGATCGTTTCCTCGTTCATTCCAAAAATATTCACACGGAGTGAAAAAATGCGTTCTCTGCGTCTCCTTGCTTCATTTCGATGTCTCCTTCTTGCGACAATAACCGCTGCCATGTGTGCGCAATTACGCATACAGACCATTTGCACCTTCTTTTGAAACGTGTTAAATATAGAGTCAGATACCGTTAGCAAAATTGCTTTCAGGTTTAATAAATCACTTTGCGAGTGCTAAATTAATATATTTACATGTTCTCCTCCCACAAGACGCATTTTTGCGTGTAAACGCCCCATATTGCATATTCATTGCAGAAAAAGTACTAAATGGATAAGAGGCGCTATTTAGCACGTTTTAAAGACCAAATCATTTTAGCACGCTGTTGATAGATCAGTTTGTAAATTTTTTAGCGTGCGCAGTGAAATAGCTCACGTTTTAATACACGCAAACCTTTGATAGATCCGGCCCAAGGTGTGGAGAAAGTTCGGAAGTTAACATTTAAGGTTATTGTGGGAAATATTTAACACGGTGCAAGAAAATGTATCAAGGTGCAAGACTAAATAGAATAAAACAGATCAGAACAGAACATACTGTAATAGAATAAGATAGAACAGATTACAATACCATAGAATAAAATAGAAAAGAATAAAATAGAATAGAATGGAATAGAATAGGAAATAACAGAATAGAATCAAACAGAGTCGAATAGAATGGAATAGAATAGAACAGAATAGGATAGAATAGAATAGAACAGAATGGAATAGAACAGAATAGAATAGAATAGACGAGAACCGAACAGAATAGAATGGAATAGAATAGGATAGAACCGAAGAGAATAAATAGAACAGTATATAAGAGAACAGAATAGAATAAAACAGAAAGACAAGACACAAGATAATATAATAAAACAGAACAGAGTATAATAGAACAGAATAGGATAGAGTATAATAGAAAAGAATAGAATAGAATTGGCCTTTAATGTTCCTTAGTGGGGAAATGAAGGTACAGTATCAAAGCAGCCGCATCAAAAGTAAATGGCCGGATGGAGGTCGGGTTTAAAACACACACACAGACAAAAAACTGCAGTTATACAATTAGCTGAGAGGCTGTCCAGAAAAACAGGATATAACGTTTTTGGCAACTGTAGGATTTTTTTTTTTTTAAGATTAAAACCTGAACCAGCCTGTTTTTCTGGCCACCAAGCCGGATTCTTCCCATGTTTTAACCACCTATCACTCCCTTCTTTGGAAGTGATTTCTCTCTGACAATCAAGTCAATTATCTCAGGTCATAACAGCAACAACTGCCTCTGACTTTCTCTCTCAAAACAACAATCCAGCAGCACCGTCTGAACATGCGTCCATAGATAATGATTAGTTCTGCAGAAATGTCTCAACCTGCACCAGCATGCTCCAAGGCTCAGGAACACTTCCAATAGGGGCCAGGACAGACATTTATTCTGCAATCAAACACCTCACTGACTGTCTGGTTTGGAGTGATTTGCCATTTGAAGGGAGGAGGGGTTGGTGGTCCTATAGGCGGGCTGAGCTCTCCAAAGGACATCACCCACATGCTGTCTGTCTGTCAGCACCAGAGGAGCGCAGCGCACCCATCAGCCAGTGAGTTCTTCTTGTTTTTTTGTTTTCATTGCGTGTTTTGTGATTGGATATCGAAAGTTTGACATCCATGTGCGCATTTTGTTCTCGCTCTCTCTGTTTCTCTTCCAAAGGAGCATGAATGCTGCTAAGCTCCAGACAGATTTGACTTGAGATCAAACACATAAGAAGAAAAGCAAAATGGAGACATTCACCATCCATGACATGCTGATCAATTCAACGGATTTGAACAAGATTTTGTGCAACTTCGGGATTAGGAATATTTCGGATTGTGAGAGGGAGCGGGACCAGTCTCCAGAGCCTAAAGGTAAAATACAAGCTTTATATAGATATATATATATAAAAAAATATTGCTTTAAAAATATTTGACGAATTATATTCAACATAAAATACTTTTTTGAAATGCAACTTGTCTCTAACATTGAATTTTAAAGAGGTGAGAGAGCGCTTGGGGCATTTTTCTTGCGTCATTGCGCATTACGCGCACGGCTCAGGTCCTGCACAAAAGCTAATGTAGTCAGCGCTCGGTGATTCTGCACGGCCAAGTGAGCACAACTACATCTGTGCACATGAAAAAAAAAAAAACTAGGGGACATAAAAAGATTCAGTTAGAAACATTTTTGCGAGTAAAAACCTGAGAGGCATCAGCCCGAAGTGATGCATAGAGATATAAAATGCGCACACGGAGCATGAGCGGGCTGCACAGCACATGAGTCACATTTTTATATAAATATTAGAGTGATGTTTGCTCAAGGGGGGGTGGATGACTTTGACACACACAGGCTGTAACAAAAGCTTATTTAGAAACATGTAGGGTCTATTTGGGTGGGAAATAAAATGACTCCATCATTGGATCTGGATGGCAACAGCTGTTTCTCATACTTTGTTTTTGTATTATTTGTTCTATTCATAAATCTGAATAAGATTACTTTATTCATTTAAAAGAAAAACTATTTGTAAATTATCTATAACCAGAGAAATTGTATCCAAATCAAGTAAAGAAAAAAAAAAAGACTCCACCCCAAACCTAAAAACTGGTTGTGTCACCTTTGATCCCAGTAACACTTGTTACTATAATTACTTATAAAGAAGAGGCTGTGTTTGGATAGGTTTTAACCTATAATGAACTAAATTATCATTTGAAATGTATCTTTCGCATTAATTCTGCTTATAAAAGAAAACATTTTGATGATTTAAAGCAGGCATTCCCAAACTCGGTCCTCAAGGCCCCCTGTCCTGCAGGTTTTAGAGGTTTCCTTGCTCCAGCACAGCTGATTTGAATTGAAAGCTGATTAACAGGCTTTTGGTCTACTGCAATCATTATAACCAGCTGTGCTGAAGCAGAGAAACCTCTAAAACCTGCAGGACAGCGGGCCTTGAGGACCGAGTTTGGGGATGCCTGATTTAAAGGATTTATGTTCAAGAAAAAATGAGAAAAAGAAGAAATCTTTATGAGATGTTGTAATATTTTAATGCACACATGAAGAATTAATATAGTGACATTTTTAAGTCCTTATCTGTCATTTTATTACCATCAAAGGAAACTTCCACGTCCTGTTGTCACCTCTGACCAGGGCACATTTTAGTCTAAGCTCAACATCTTACCAGACAGACTTTTAATACCATGTAGTGGCAATTTTCTATTTCTTTTGTGTTTTTCTTTTTGTAATGTGAATCTTTTCATTGTATTTTCATTGTAAAGTTTTTTTGCGAAGGATGGTAAGTGTGTCTGCTATAGGCAACCATTAATACAGTAATAGATCTAATTAATACAGGAGTGAAAAAAGTACTTTCTGGTGAAATTCTGAATTGATTGATACAAAAATGTCATCCTCCTGTTTTGTAGATACGTTTCTGGGTTTGAACCGCAGCCCACTTAACTTTTCTTTATTCTAAGCCAAACCTTGTAGATCCAACTTGTCTAAAGATGATTAAAGATGTTAACAAGCGTCTCTTTCTCAGACATCAACCAGACTGTCCGGATCATCCTGTACAGCCTCATCTTCCTCCTCAGCGTTGTGGGCAACACCCTCATCATCGCTGTCCTGTTGAGGAACCGGCGCATGAGGACCGTCACCAACCTGTTCCTGCTGTCCCTGGCATTGAGCGACCTTATGGTGTCCCTGGTGTGCATCCCCTTCACCCTAATCCCCAACCTCATGAGGGACTTCATCTTCGGCATCGGCATCTGCAAGCTGGTCATGTACTTCATGGGTATGTAGAGACAAAAGAAGGCAGGGTAGAGCTAGAGGCAGTTTGATGCATTTGTAAAAGTCCCCATCCCCTTCTTCTCTCTGAAAAAACATGTTCATGTAGCACTATCTAATCCTGCCGGATCATTTCCTCTAATGTTTAAATAAAAACGCTTTACACTCATCTATTGGAAGAAGAATATACCAGAAGTCCTGGTCTCTCTGGCATATCTATCCTGACTAACTTGGGGTTTTGTTAGGGAGTCTGTCCTCCTCTACTACCTCACATGCAGGTCAAGTGAATTTTTTCCCCTCATTTTACAGACAAGCACTTTTTTATTATCAGCAGTAGCCTGCTGCAGTTCCCATAAGGTTTTAAAAACTTGTTTACTCTGCTGTTGGGGTGAAGTTGCAGATCTGGGCTTGTTGGCAGTTGTTTTAAAGTCTTCTACATTTATTTCACACAGTGAAATGGCTTAATTCATTCTAATCATTTTTTGGGATTTCTATAAATCCCTCATCAGGCCCTTCAGTTGAAGCGTTCTTCCTTCTGAAGCCCTTTAGACAGTGGCTTGGATCCCGCCGTGGTGTTCACTCTCACTTCAGTTCTCCATACAATTATTATGATAAGAATATATTTATGGTAATTCTGTATACCAGGAATTAAATGAAATAATAAACAAAATCAAACTGAATAATAAGGAGCCAGCTGAATAAATATGCAAAGCTTAAAAGGGACAAAACTTTTCAAATTGTGGACTAATATGGATTTATCGTCACATCGTCTGATGTAAAACACACAGACTCAAAAGACATGACGTACTTCTGTTTTTCGGCTTTATCTGGGACCATGATGCTGGGGCAGCAGTCTCATCCCAGATGCAAGACTTCTTTATCCCCAGACAGCTTCTCCAGCTCCTCTGGGGGAAGTCCAAGGTCTTCCCAGGGCAGCCAAGAGACATCGTCCCTCCAACATGTCCAGGGTTGTCCCCTGAGCTTCCTCATGATGGAACATGCCTGGAACACGTCCTCATAAAGGTGCCAATGGGGCGTCTGAAACAGATGTCCCACCTCAGCTGACTCCTCTACTTTAAGCCTCTCCTGAATGAACAAACTCTTTACCCCATCTCTAAGGGAGTCCCCTGCCACTCTGTTGAGGACAATGATTTCAGCCTCTTTCATGTTTGTAGGTAACGATAGCAACACGGACTGACCGGTTTATCCAGAGCTTTACCTTTAGGTGCAGCTGTAGTTATCTGCTCTTTCCTGACTTCAGAACATGATCCTGAGGTACTTGAACTCCTCCACTTGAAACAGGAACTCCCCTTCAACCTGAACAGGGGAAGACCCCCTCTAACCATTAACACGGAGGAGATTATCATCCTCCTGGCGTATGCTGGAGGACTTGGCATGAGGAAGCAAGGAGAATCATGTCCTCCTAAAAAAGCTGAGGCAGAATGCCCTGGTCCCAAAGCCAGACCCCCGTCCAGCCCCTGGCTGCACCTAGAAATCCTGTCTATAAAGATCATGAACAGGACCAGTTAGAGAGGGAGGCCTCGCCAGAGTCCATCTGGAACTGGTATGATCTAATGCTGCCAGGTGGATCAATCTCCTCTTCTCCTGCATAAAGCATATGTGGTCAAACTCACATGAACCCATTAACACCTTGCAGGATGTCTTTCATGGAAGGGACGAAAACCACACTGCTTCACCAAAGCTGAGGTTCAGTAATCAACCAGACTCTCCTCTCCAGCACCTTGGCATAGTTCATCCCGGTGAGGCTAAGAAGTGTGTTGTTGAACACACCTTCCGGTCCCCCATCTTGTGTAGAAGAAATAACCCCCCCCCCCAGGTTCTCAGGGTGAATCTCATCCACCCTCTAAGATGACAACCGTGAAGTTTTCTGTAATCACCTTGGTGATATTTGCCTGAACAAGAGCAACACAGAGTACCCAGTCTCCATTTCCACCAGGATAGACGTAATGGCCGAGTTAAGGAGATCCGTCCAACAACATCCTCAGTCAATGTCAGCAGCTTCCCAATCTCACTGTAAAGGCTGACCTACACCTAGGTATCTTTGGTATATGATTTTTTTTAATAACAAGGATTTAAAATGAAGGTGGCCCATCCTGTGCAGCTGACTGGTCTTAACGTATTCAGAAATGCTCCCAGGGCTTGCAATGTTTTCTATGAATGCATTCTCATGGTGCTCTATGGCGTTCATTCCAGTAAAGCTCCTAAAAACCAAATTCAAGCAGCCTTGCTTTGAGGCTGTTCATCAGTCCCATGACAGGGTCATGCCCACACCGTTACCACTTCACCTTCTTCCTCCAAGCTGCAAATAGAACATGCAAAATCTTCATTTAAATCATAAAACATTTGCTGAATCAATTCAGCTCTTATTTAGAATCTTGGTTGATCAGGGTCAATGTCTGAGTGATGAGTTATAGTTTGCTGTTGCGTTGGTAATAGCTCATCATAATGAAGTCATCCGAGGTCCTTTTGGAAGGTTAATTTCACTGCATCTCCAAATACTTATTTTGGTTTAATGAGCCTAAGCAGTAATAACTCCACACAGGTCAAAGCTTTATTTAGAGAAGATAAATTTATGTTTCCCGGCTGCACTGATTCTTTTTCTTCTTAATTCAGGTCAAGCTTCATGATCGTTAGGAGAAAAGATGAAAATTATTGAACGGCATGAAGAACCGGCAGCGGGGTAATCATTTCAGGTAGAAAAAGTGGGCCTGCTACGTTTCCAAAAAAAGATCTAATTAGCTGAAGCCATATGTTTGAAGATGCTGTAAAACAGACATAAGTTACCTTCCTAGTCAATAGCAAATGGAAGTTGCTACTCTAATCGTTTCTGACGTGACTGAGCGCTTTGAAGCCGTGATCATAACAGACGCCAGCTCTCTTCTCCATCATCAAGGCGGGATTCAGAGGCGGGATTCGAAACGCTGCATCTGAAAATAACATGATGTGGGGTAAAGAACGTAATCCGAGCGGCCTCAATGAGTCAACAGGGACACGTCAAATATAATCAGTGTAGCCTCTGTGACAGACAAACACCGCAGACGGAACGTTAGCCATCGTTAGGTGCCCCACATTTCAGCCTTCAGGACAACATAAATGCAAACTTTTCAACCAAGCTCAGGCATGTTGGAGGATACTTTGCTGTCCATAAAAGTGTATATTTTTTTTCGCAGAAGGCTCATTGAAACCCTGAACCATAGATTTGAGCAAAAACAGGCTAAAGGGCTATAAATCAGCTTTAGTAAAACATTTGATTGACGTGATTTTGCACTATTTTAAGAACCATACAGTATCTTTTAAATATTCATTTAGCCCTGCTTGAGGGTTTTCAACGACATATCTTCATTGAATTCCAGTCCAGGTTTTGACTAGGGACCTGGAGTTTTTCAAAGGTTTTTCTTCTGATATATTCAGAGATGAACTTTCTGTTATACTCTGGTTCATTGTCCAGCTGTTCACTGCAAAAAACTAAAATCTAATTAAGTCCTTTCTTAAAATAAGTGCACTTTTCTTGAATTGAGAAGGTAAGGGAGACACCTTGCCAACGGAACAAGACAATTTACAATTAATATTATGAAAAAAAGTGCACTGTCTTATTTTTAGGTGCATATTATCTAATTATCTTATTTTAAGAGTAATGCATCTAATTCCATTGGCAAATCATCTTATTTACCTGCTGAAATTAAGGGTAAATAGACTTAATTTGAAGAATTTTTACTTATTTCTAGATCGTTTTTGCAGTGTTTGAGGTCAAAAGCTGATTTTTTGGTACATTCCTGAAGCAGCAATACCACCCTCCGTGTTTGCTTTGCTAGTTTTACACCAGATCTAACAGGATGTTCACATTTCAAAAAGTTTTACTGTAGTTTTACCATTTAACAGAATATTTTCTCAGGGTATTGGATTTATTTCTAAATTATAAAAATGAATCGTAATCTAAAGAAGAGACCTGCAGGACCTTAAATTTGGACTTTTCCCTTTAGTATATAGGGGCTCTTAAGGTTCAATATAATCAGGATTTACCAGCGGATGCAGGTTTTTCTTTTCATTTTCAAAGTCAAGGCTGCACACTTCTGATCTAACAGATAAAATCTCTGATCCTTTCTTGAAGCGAACTCTGAATTCTACATCAGTGTTTAAGCAAATTGTCTTGGCAACATTTTAAATTGGTCCAGGCAGCAAATCAGTAGCACTCTCCTCTGTAAGACATTGATTCATAGTTATACTTCAATAAGTGATCTTAAAACGTAAAACTATTCTTGAATAAGGGCTGTCACTCTTCATTTGAACAGGTAAATAAGGTGACCTACCAATGGAATGACTATTTCTGCTCTCAAAATATTTTAATTAGATATTAAGCACTTGAAATAAGATAATAGAGATGTTTTTCTTCTTTTAAACTTCAATTATTTTATTCCATCTGCAGCTTGAAACAAGGGAAAAACACTTTCTTCAAGAAAATTTGACCTACATTTAAATCTTAAAATAAATTTTTTTTTCTTGAATTGAGGAGAAAAATGGGACAACTTGCCAATGGAACAATAGAATTTACATTTAAAGTAAGAAAAATCAACTGCAATGTCTTATTTCAAGTGCATATTATCTAACTATCTTGTTTTAAGAGTAAAAATACAAATTCCATTGACATATTACCTTATTTATCAGCTCTTATTAAGGGTGAATACGCTTAATTTAAGACATTCTTACTTCTTTTTAGATCATTTTTGCAGTGCACTTATATTCAAATGTATACTGTGTGTGGGTTTTCAGTAGAAAGACTATAACAGGGGGCCAGGACCACTTCTAAAGGGGCACTGGCCCCTGTTGGCCCTTGTTAGCCCCTGTCTAGAACCATCCATGGATGACAATGATTATTTACATAGAGCTCAATTGTTTGGTACATCTCATGTATTAACTCTTATGTAATTTATGTTTTTACTGAGGTTATCTGCTATGAAATTATTTTGATGGCCTAAAGCATTTCATTGT